ATATATTTACCATTAAAATTAAATTAAAATTGAATTCTCATAATTAAAGTAAGAATAATATATGGATTAACACATGCTTAAGTGATAGGATAAATATTATCAAACCTTTAAAATCTAACTGAACTAAATTTAAATTTAAGGTAATTTTATTTATTATTTATTAAGAATTAATAAAAATTATTTATTTATTTATTTTAAGTTCTCAACAATTCTTATTATTAGTTGTTAAATTGATAAATTAATTATTATATTTATTAACCATAAAAATATTAGTGGAAGCCAAATCAGGTAAAAAGGTACAAATTTTATTGCTCAAGGAATAGAAAAGTGCAAACATTTAACATCACTATCTCTTAACATAAGGTTTTTTCTTAAATAATTACAAATTTCTTATAAATTAAAATTAATATAAAGATGCAAAATTTTTATTTTTTTAAAGAAAAATATAATAAATTAATAAAACACTATTAAAGTTAATTAATTAATTAATTAAGGGTCAGGACAAGTTTTTTTAAATTAATTTATAAATTTTGTTTGAAAATATTTAACATTTTTTTTAATTTTTTTAAAAGCAATTCCATGGTTACAGTAAATGCTATTAAATAATTAGCATAAAGCTTAAAACAAAATAAAAAAATAATCAGTTTGGATCTAAATTTAGAGTAAAATTTTTAATTCATCTAGTTTATTTTAAAATATTAACTTTACTATTAAATATATTAATTAAGTGGTAATAAACTATCAAGTGAAGCTATAAATAGTATTAATATGGTTATTAATGATCATTTAGCTATTAAAAATTTATCCTTAAGCTTCAGGTAATCCTTCAAAAATAATTAAAAATATTTTTAAACTTTTTCTACAATTAAATCATCAAATTTCAAAAGATAGATAGATAAATAAATAGATTTATAACTAATTCAATTACTTGCTTTTTTATAAAATTAATTGAATACTTAATTTAGAAATATAAATGCTATTTTTTCTAGAATTATTTTCTTTTAGTAAAAAATAATGATTAGTTTATTTATTTACTTATATTATTATAAATAGCCAAAATAACTTTGATAGGATATCATTTTATGCAATGTTAAATCACTTGTAAAAGTTTAATAATTTATAATTCTTGTAAATAATCTGCAAGTAAAAAATAATTTAACTGAAATAAATAATAAATGTTAAATCATATTTAAATTAAAAGGGGAAATTTAATTAGTTCATTAGATAAAGAAAATTTTGAAAAAGAAGTGAAATAAAACTGCTTAAGATTGAAGACATTTAAATTTATTTATTGAAAATTATAAATTATTTGTTTTGATTTTATTTATATTTTACAATTTCTATGTATCTATTCGTTTTGTTTTGTTGATTACTTTTTTACAATTAAGTTTTTGAATTAACTTTTAAACTTATTAGGGTTTGTTTGTTTGTTTTTTATAATTTGATTAATAATAAAAATATATTAATAATTATTTTATTTAATTAAATTATTTATTTGAATAAATTAAAAATACAACAAAATAAATATTTATATTTTTTTATTTGAAGATTTATTTTTTTAGTTATTTAACAAAACATTTCATTTGATTGATTATTTTTCTCAAAAACAATCATTAAATTCTTTGTATTTTTATACCTATTCAGGTATTATTTTCATTTATTTTTATTTAATTTAATATATTGTTTAAATGAGTATTTTTAAATCCTTTTTAAAGTGATTATTTAGAAATTTAATTTTGATTGTATCTTATTATCCAAATATAATGTAAATTATACTATATTTTTTGAATAATGTAATATATCAGTATTTAAATTTTTATAACTAATACCAATTTTTTCATTTTTAATAATTCCACTATTGTTTATGACTAATTAATCACTAAATGATATAAAATCAAAAAATAAATAAAATATAAAATTTTTGTCATATTTATAAATGTGCTGAATATATCCATCCATATTTTACTATTTTTAAGAAATAAGCTTAATTCAATTTTGTAAAAATTTGAAGAATTTTATTGTTTTTTGTATTGTATTAATCAGATTTTAAGAATTTTAAATTGTGATTGAAGATTAATTAATTATTTATTTATTTTAATAATTTGTCTTCTTTATAATAACTAAATAGATTAGATAGATAGATATTGAAATTAAATTAATAACAAAGTAGAAATAAAAATGTATTCCACTAGGAAATAAGAGCTCTTTTAATGCTTAAACTAAATTTAAATTAAATAAAGACAGTTAATTTAAGATTTCTTAAAGAAGTATGATTATGTATACGAAAGAGAGATCTCAAAAGGCCATTTTAATATTGTAGTATAAGCCAAGTCTGCTAATAATCATAATTGCAAAGTAGCTATTTAAATCTTGAATTATGAGTACAACTCCAAAATAAATGTTGAAAAACTGAATAAATAATTAGATTTTTAAGATAGCTTGAGTGAAGAGAAATATATTCTTAAGTTTATTCAATTAATTTAAGATTAGAAATATGGTTTTACTGCAATCATCACAGAATACTGCGAAGGTTTTTATTCTAATGATCAATAATATCATTAAAAATTAAAATTTTCAAATATAAAATATAAAGCAACTTTAGCTTAAGTTCTTGAGTAAAACAATCTCACAATCACATAAGTTTATGCTTTAGCATATTAGCTTATAAAAGGTTTAATTTTGTTATAAGAGAAAGAGAAAGTCTTTAAATATATTGAACCAAACAAAATATTTTACAGCATATCTAAAAACTAATTTTTGTTAAGTAAAAAATTAATTAATTCACTTAAAAGATAATTAATTATATTACAATTTGATTAATAGCTTCAATAAGCACTTCTTAGGTCATTGATTCATAGTATGATTATGATGACGATGAAGATGTAACTTTAAATATCTCTGGTTGATTTTAATTTTTTTTAAGCAATAATTAGGAAATTTGAATTATTAATCACCCGAAGTTATTGATAAGAGTAAACCTTATAAAATTACTGTAAATATTTTATTTTATCTATTATTTATGTACCTCATTAAATCTTTTGTATTTAGGTTGATGTTTTTTCTATAGGTGTGATTCTTCTTGAAGCTCTACTTTAAAGAAAACTGAAAGGCATGGAGTATCTAAAGCTAAAAACTTAAAATTTGGTTAGTGTTTTTCCTGATCTTCCAAATTAATATAATGATGAATTTGTTACTAAGATTCTAAGCAAAATGGTAGAACCCACTCTAAGTAAAAGGAGTTATCCTTTGAGTTTATTACAAGAGCTAAATAAATTTAAAATAGATGAATAATAACTTAAACTTATCAAAATATAGTAAAATATGGAAACTCAAGATATTGAACCTTAAGATTTAGATTAAATTATCTATCACCAAGAAAATATTTCTTATGAGGAAACTGAGTTAGGAAATCAACAATAAAAAAACAAAAAAGATAAAAAAATTAAAAGTAAAAAGGTAAAAGATTCAAATATTTACGAAGAAGAAAATATTTCTTATGCAGAAATTGAGTAAGCAAGATGGTAGAAAGATAAAAAAAATAAGGATAAAAAGAAAAATAAGAATGATTTAAATTAAAATATTTCTGAGGAAGAAAATATTTCTTATGAGGAATAAGAAAATCAATAACAAAAAAGCAAAAAAGATAAAAAAAATAAAAATAAAAAAGAAATACATTAAAATACTGATGAGGAAAAAAATGTTTCTTATGTGGAAATTGAATAAGAAAATAAGTAAAAAGATAAAAAAAATAAGAATAAAAAGAAAAATAAGAAGGATTTAAATTAAAATATTTCTGAGGAAGAAAATATTTCTGATGAGGAAATTGAATAAGAAAATCAACAATAAAAAAACAAAAAAGATAAAAAAACTAAAAGTAAAAAGGTGTTAAATTCAAATATTTAAGAAGAAGAAAACTTTTCTTATGAAGAAATTGAAAAACAAAGTAGGCAGAAAGATATAAAAAAAAAGGATAAAAAGAAAAATAAGAAGGATTTAAATTAAAATATTTCTGAGGAAGAAAATATTTCTTATGAGGAATAAGAAAATCAATAAAAAAAAAGCAAAAAAGATAAAAAAAATAAAAATAAAAAAGAAATACATTAAAATACTGATGAGGAAGAAAATGTTTTTTATGTGGAAATTGAATAAGAAAATAAGTAAAAAGATAAAAAAAATAAGAAGGATTTAGATTAAAATATCTATGAGAAAGAAAATGATTCTTATGAGGAAATTGAATAAGAAAATCAACTATAAAAAAACAAAAAAGATAAAAAAACTAAAAGTAAAAAGGTGTTAAATTCAAATATTTACGAAGTAGAAAACTTTTCTTATGAAGAAATTGAAAAACAAAGTAGGTAAAAAGATAAAAAAAATAAGGATAAAAAGAAAAATAAGAAGGATTTAAATTAAAATATTTCTGAGGAAGAAAATATTTCTTATGAGGAATAAGAAAATCAATAACAAAAAGGCAAAAAAGATAAAAAAAATAAAAATAAAAAAGAAATACATTAAAATACTGATGATGAATAAAATTTTTCTTATGTGGAAATTGAATAAGAATATAAGTAAAAAGATAAAAAAAACAAGGATAAAATGAAATATAAGAAGGATTTAGATTAAAATATTTCTGAGGAAGAAAATGTTTCTTATGAGGAAATTGAATAAGGAAATCAATAATAAAAAAAGATAAAAACTAAAAATAAAAAAGCATTAGATTAAAATACTGATGAGGAAGAAAATGTTTCTTATATGGAAATTGAATAAGAAGATAAGAGAAAAGATAAAAAGAAAAAGAAAAATAAAAATAAAAAGGATTTAGATTAAAATATTTCTGAAGAAGAAAATATATCTCAAGTGGAAATCGAAGATGAAAATTAGTAAGAAACAAAAAGAAAGAATAAAAAAAATAAGGATAAAAAGAAAAATAAAAAAGGAAGAGATTAAAATATTGATGAAACTGAATATAATTCTTATGAGGAAATTGAACAAGAATATCAGTAAGAAAAATAGAAAAAAGATAAAAAAAATAAGAAAGAATAAAAAATTTTAATTAAAGTCAACATAAAATAATTAATTTTGAATTTAATTACAAAATTTAAAATTACAAAAAATAAAATTTAAATCTAAAAATATAATGACTGCTTAAGAAAGAACGCTTAAGTTCAAAATGATTTGAATCTACTTATTTAACAATTAAAATAAGTTAATTAGAAAATAATAAGAAAATAGGTAAATAATTTTCATATTGAAGACTGTTAGCCATTTTATGAAAAAGATGATGATGACTATCAAAAATAAATAAATATTATTGATATCAAATAAATACCTCAATAATATAATTATGGGATAGTTGAAATTTAATTAAAGTAAATTCTTAATTGCATATTTAAATTATTATTTATTTATTTATTTATTTATTTTTTTTTAAACTTGAAAGTTATTTATTAAATATTTTATGAATGATAAATTTTAAAGCTTAAAAATATTATTTGAATAAAGTTCTTTAATAAGTTTTAATTTATTTATTTAGAATAAAATATTTTTATTAGAGATATAAGTGCTGTTGAAGAAGAAATTATGAATCTGGTAAGATTCTTAAAAAAATGCTAAAAGATGAGATTTCTAACTTTAAATGTCTAATTGTATCATCAGTATTTAACTATTAATTAATATTTACTAAATAATTATTTATTAATTTTTAATTAAATTATTAATCATTAACTTCATCTGAAATAAATTTAGTTATCATAGTAGCTACGAATAATTGTAACTTAACTATTATCTTAAATAATTAGCCATAAAATTATAATTTTATTATATGTAGGGAAATAACAGATATGTGCAAAGACTTACTTTGTATTTAACTAAATTTATGCTTTAATTTAGTAAATTTAATATCGCTAAATCTAGAATTAGAGTAAGTATTTAAATTTAAATTTATTTTATTCATTATTTAATTTAATAAATAAATAAACAAAAAAGTTTCAAAACAAATTAATTAATTAATTAATTAATTAATTTATCAAATCACAAAATTTTAATAAAATATTTTTTTTAGTTTAATTTAAAATATAATATTTCTATATCCATGATGAGTTAATAGAGTGTTTAGATCACCATCTATTTATAATATCTAATAGATTTTTAAATAAAAAAAAATATTTATATTAAATTTTTCTTCATAAAATCTATTTATTTATTTAAATTAGAGCCCATTTTGTTGGAGAAGAATCTATTGGTAATTTAATAGGGAGGTGTAAAAATCTTTGTTTTCTAAAGCTAGATTTGAAAATATAAAATCCTTTAGAATCTATTTGTTAAGAGGTTCCTCAAAGAGTACCTAATATTTCTTAAGGGTTAGCTTAATGTTAAAACTTAGTTGATTTAGATTTGTGGTTATAGTAAACTATCAAAAATAATTTTTAATAATTTAATCTTTAATATATTTTAGCGGAATTACTACTTTGGATATATAAGATATTGCTTATTGCTTAACTCAAATTCAAAATTTGAATTTTTTGAGCTTTAAATTAAGGTTAAAATATATATTTATATTTAATTTGATAAAATTTTAAATATTAAAATAAAAATATATATTGTTATAGAAATTGCTAAATTACTTAAAGATGTCATCAATTTGCAAATCATTTGAAAAAGTTCAAAAATATAATTGTTTTAAAACTTGATTTTAAGTAAATATTGGTTTTAAATTTAAAATAAAATTGGTTAAATTAAATTTTATAAAAAAGTTCAATCGGTATTAATTATAATGATTTAATTGACATACTAAAAAGATTATAATCATTGGAATACATGAAATTCTTAGAATTGGATTTATCGTAAAATACATACTTTAAAATTTGATAGTAGAAAAGGATATATATAGCATAAATATATTTTTACATAGGTCAAATAATTTGCATTACACAAGATATGAAACATAAATAGAAGACATAGTTTACAAAAGTTTAACTCATTTGACTCTAAATTTATCGTAAAAAAATGTTAACTCAGATAGATAAATAAATAAATAACGATATTTTTTTATTAAAAAGAAATAACAATTTAAGTTAAAATAAAATAAATAATATAATAAAAATCTTTAAATCTAGTGAAAATTTGTTTTCTTTACATTTCGATGCACGGTAAATTATTTTTAAATAAAAAATAAATTTAATATTTTATTTTACTAGTGGAAACGTTTTCAAAAGAGGAGAAGAAGAAGAAAATATTTGCTTTTAAAAATTAAAAAATTTAACGCACTTAAGTATGATTTCATTGTAAATAAATATTTATAAAAATGATATTAAATTGATTAAAACGAATGAGTAAGTAAGAAAAAGAAAACTTAAAATTTATTTTAAAAAATAAGAAAGATGTTTTGTATCTTATTAAATTCAGACAGTATTGATATGAGTTTTTATAAGTGTAAAAAATTAATCAGTTTAGATCTAGAATTTAGGTAAGTTTATTTATTTATCTTTTTATTTATTAAGGAATATATAAAATTATTTTTTTTAAATATTATAAAAAATTTAAGGTTTACATAAATAAATGATGAAGATTTAAATTAAATTGGATTGGGATTATAAAAATGTAGCCATATAAAGTCGCTTAAACTTGTTATAAAGTAAACTAAAATTAATTAAATAAAATGATATATCTAAAAATAATTTTAAGATTATATTTAAATTGGAATTATTTATTTATTTCTTTTTTATTTTTATTCATAAAATAGGGATTGCTAACTAGGTAAGGTTAGTTTAGAAGAATTTGGAAAAAACTTGTCTCAATGTATTAATATCAATTCTTTACAATTCAATATTAGGTTATTGCTTATACATTTACCATTAAAATTAAATTAAAATTGAATTCTAATAATTAAAGTAAAAATAAAATTGGACTAATACATGCTTAAGTGATAGGATAAATAATAGCAAACCTTTAAAATCTAACAGAACTAAATTTAAATTTAAGGTAATTTTATTTATTATTTATTAACAATTAAAAAAAATTATGTATTTATTTTAAGTTCTCAATAATTCTTATTTTTAGTTGTTAAATTGATAAATTAATGAATTAATTATTATATTTATTAACCATAAAAATATTAGTGTAAGCCAAATCAGGTAAAAAGGTACAAATTTTATTGCTCAAGGAATAGAAAAGTGCAAACATTTGACATCACTATCTCTTAACTTAAGGTTTTTTCTTAAATAATTCCAAATTTCTTATAAATTAAAATTAATATAAAGATGAAAAATTTTGATTTTTAGTTTTTTAAAAGAAAAATATAATAAATTAATAAAACACTATTAAAGCTAATTAATTAATTAAGGGTCAGGACAAGTTTTTTTAAATTAATTTATTATGAAAATTTTTTAAAAAATTTAAATCTTATTTTTATCGGCTCCAGCCAAAAAAAAAAAAATCAAATTAGGACACTGTCAAAAATGTTTAAATAAAATAAAATTGAAAATTTAATTAATTTTGTTTGAAAATATTTATTATTTTTTAAAAAGCAATTCCATGGTTACAGTAAATGCTATTAAATAATTAGCATAAAGCTTAAAACAAAATAAAAAAATAATCAGTTTGGATCTAAATTTAGAGTAAAATTTTTAATTCATCTAGTTTATTTTAAAATATTAACTTTACTATTAAATATATTAATTAAGTGGTAATAAACTATCAAGTGAAGCTATAAATAGTATTAATATGGTTATTAATGATCATTTAGCTATTAAAAATGTATCCTTAAGCTTCAGGTAATCCTTCAAAAATAATTAAAAACATTTTTAAACTTTTTCTACATTTTAATCATCAAATATCAAAAGATAGATAAATAAATAAATAAATAGATAACTAACTTACTTACTTACTTACTTACTTGCTTTTTTATAAAATTAATTGAATACTTAATTTAGAAATATAAATGTTATTTTTTTTAGAATTATTTTCTTTTAGTAAAAAATAATGATTAGTTTATTTATTTACTTATATTATTATTAATAGCCAAAATAACTTCGATAGGATATCATTTAATGCAATGTTAAATCACTTGTAAAAGTTTAATAATTTATAATTCTTGTAAATAATCTGCAAGTAAAAAATAATTTAACTGAAATAAATAAATGTTAAATCATATTTAAATTAAAAGGGGAAATTTAATTAGTTCATTAGATAAAGAAAATTTTGAAAAAGAGGTGAAATAAAACTGCTTAAGCTTGAAGATATTTAAATTTATTTATTGAAAATTACAAATTATTTGCTTTGATTTTATTTATATTTTACAATCTATATGAATTTTATTCGCTTTGTTGATTACTTTTTTATTTTTTAATTAACTTTTAAACTTAATAGGGTTTGTTTGTTTGTTTTTTATGATTTGATTAATAATAAAAATATATTAATAATTATTTTATTTAATCAAATTATTTATTTGAATAAATTAAAAATACAACAAACTAAATATTTATATTTTTTAATTTGAAGATTTTTTTAGCTATTTAACAAAACATTTCATTTGATTGATTATTTTTCTCAAAAACACTGTAAAAACAATAGAAACTAAAAAAATAAATTGAATAAAATATATAGTAAAACTTTAAGAATTGGTAAACTCCAATAATAAAATATAATTAATTCATAAGGAAGCAATCCATGTTTAGATATAATCAATAAGTATATAAAAAAGACATTCATTCATTATATTTAATTGTTTTTATTTTTTTGATCAAGCCTAATCTTTAGTTAATTAGGCTAGATAGAGCAGCAATTAAAATACTTTATAATGATTAAATTAAAATAATAAACTATGAAAAGCTTGAGAAATACAAACAAATTTTTAGAAATTTTGTTTGATAATAAGTA